TAGCGACAAAAAGCGAAACAAAAAGCTAGCGAAAAAATACAAACACAGCGAGATAACACACTTACAGGCTGAGCATCTGCCACCTCTGGAACGGCTTGAATCGGCGCTGGACCTGGATCCTGTGCTGGTGCTGGGGCCGCTAATGGCGCAACTACCGGTGCCACTTCTACCGGTGCAACTGGAGCTGGTATTACAACTGGTGGAACTACTGGAGCTGGAACCGGTGGGTCTACGGCTGCAACGACGTCTGCTCCAGCAGGAATAACAGGGACGTGAGCCATGGTGAAACGAGAAACAAACTGAAAACGCAAAGTACGGCACAGCGATGATACCGTACAGGAGGTTTCGACGCACTTAGCTAAACCTCCCCAAACGCCGTGGAAAGGACTTTTGAGGTTATAAAGGACTGACCGCACCGGAATAAGATTATATAGCCAAAAAACGTGTCAAAGGTTGCATAACCATTCTCATGCTAAAATTCCAGGGGTTTGGAGTCACGTAACATGCTGAAATTCACCATTGTTTGAAGGAATCCCTGGTGAGAATAGAGGATCTGTTCTGACCTGTCAACAGCATTCATTTTCATGTTGTAGGTCTTAAAAATTTGAGGCTGAGTCTCTCTCCCCATTCTCCATACGTTCTTACTCTACAGGTCACTTGGCCCTGTTCATTTTCATTGCCTACAGTTGTTATCATGGACACAACCTTATTATCTACCCACTGCAGCACTAGACAGGGAGGGCCCCTCACCCAGTGCATACTCTGCCGCTCCCAACCCTTAGCCCACTCTTGGCTTTTTTTAAGAGCGGGTAGGAAACTATGCCTGCTTGGTAAAATTGTACCCGTGGCAACGACACCCTGATTATAAAGATGTTTAAAAAAGGGTGAGGGTGGAGTAAAAATTGTCCACAAAAAGATGGTATCCCTTCCCAAGGTATGGGGCCATGAGAAGCATGACAACATCATACCCAAGCCCATGTTCACCGATACTTTGCCCTGCAGCTCTACCAATGTAGATGTTAAAATCAACGGTATAGCCATTGGAACTATCCGCCAGCACCCAGAGTTTTATACCCCATTTGGTTGGCTTGTCCTTTATGAACTGGCGAAACCCAGACCTGTGATGAGACTTTGCCATGCGCTCGTCAATTGCCACATATTTCTGGGGCACATGCAATTCTTTGCAAAGTTTTTTAAAATCCTCTATGAAGGACTACTTTACGTAGCTTATTTTGAGGGTCTTCTGTTGCGGGATCTACCACATGCAAGATGGCTAAGATTGTTGAATACCTCGTGCGGGAAAGGATTGCGCGGGCCCAGAGACCATAGAAGAGGGTCTTCGTACTCCAGTTCTTCTGGTTGTAGCACGCGCGTATTAATCCCATTATTGTTTTTATATAGTTGAGTTGATTCCCGTGGATAATTTATGTGACAAGCGTTCATGTTGGCTAAGTGTATATTAAATTAGTTTGCGATGAATAATAAAATACAGTTCGCTTGCGTTCGTTTTGTTTCGTATGATACAGGTCTAAAAGGAAAAAGGCCAACCTGTCAATGGTTAACGCTCGATACCACAGTCTAGAAATGTTTGAAGGTTGAATTATATTGACAAAACAGAATCAATGGTTTTGTAGAATAAAAATATTTATCTTTGGTCGCAGTGAATAGTTGTAAGTCGAGTACTGTTTTCGGACCATTGACTAGTATGTTTGGAAGCTATCTGCTCGAAAATATTATTTACTGGAGTTTGTGACAGTAATAAAATGCTGAACGGAGAGCGCGCTTTTATGTTGAACACATAATAGATTGTTTACTATCCAATCAGGGTTAAAAGAGCCCGGGCAAGTCTAGGCAAGCCTATTGTTCCTATTGTAGTAGAGTGACGCTCATTAGTAAACCGAATCCAAATTAGTATGCAGGAAGACACTTCTTTCCGAGGTGACGTCATAGGCTTATGCATATCAATTAAGGGAAGGCATACGGAAGGCAAGGGAAGGCACCAAAACGGTTAAGTTTGCTGAAGCCCTATTACTCATGGGGATTTCTTGGTCCTGAAGGTGAAGTATTCCAGGTATGTAACATGTTTGGTTTCATTTAATAAGCATTACTTGTGTCAAATGTAATAAGTAATAATTATGATCACCAATCTCTATCCTCAGGCCAGCATTGCAAGAAATTGGGGGTTAATGCTTTGACAGCACATATGTAACAAATTGCTTACAATAATCCTTTTTTTTTTAGGGTGATTATAGCAACTATGGGATTGATTGGCAAAGTCCCGTCCTAGAACAATGCCCTGATTATGTTGAAGTTCCGGACACAAACTGCCCATTCACTGAGAAGAAAATGCATCTCCTACCTGTAACAGACAATTTAACATATTTAGAGGGGGTTGAAGTATTCAACCAAATCACCAACTTACTGTAATAAGAAACACCCTCAAGAGTCAGTCAAGTAACACTAAAGGATAAACAAAAAACAAAAAAGTCATATATTTTTT